GCAATCGTGCCCCTGGAGGTCCTGTTCCTGCTTCAGCGGTGCTGCCAGACGAGTCGTTGCCCGAACACCCCCCTGAAGATCTGAACGTGGAAGAAAAGCCGCCTCCAGTCCTTGTTAGGCTAGAGGAACTGGTTGAGCAGCCCGACAACTCTCCACAGATCGTCCCGTTTATGGAGGACCCGTCATTCCAAGCTGCAGTAGCATCTGCTTCGTCGGCGAGTTTGCCTGGGAGACCTTCCCACCGAAAAATAACAATACAAAAGGTACCTGATGATGTACATCGGCGTCTGGCGATCTTCCCGCACGCTGCTGTGGCCATGTCTGAGTGTTCGAGCAGCCATGCAGGACCGTCTTCTGTGGGAGCCACTGGAGGCACTTGGTCAGACACAACATGCAGCCCAGACCACGCCCCCGTTCAGACGGACACCGAGTCTGACACAGATTTCGATGCGGACGAGTGGATCAGCGGCTCGGGGCTTGTGCACATCACTGGCCAGTCTCTGGACGAAGAACACGCAGGACCTGATGGTGGTGATGACGACTCGCCTGCTACGGAGAAGGCCGTGGCAGCGTTACCAGAGGAGCAGAACGAAGAGGACGAAGAGCACCCACTTCCCGGAGCATCAGTCCTCATGCAGCCTCACCGCCGTAAGAGGTTCAAAGAAAAACGCTCCGTGACGGAGAGGATGGTCACCGTGAGGGCGCTCCTGACCGGAGCTCACGGCGAGGCGGTCGATGTGCCTCCCGACGTTGTTCATGGGTTGTCTACAGAACACGATGTCAATCTCATGGACGGCCCGGGGTCTGTGACAGTCCCAGCTGCCGAAGTACGCAAGACCACTGGGCGTGAAGCTGAGCAGTGGCGCGCTGCCACAGAGAAGGAATACGTCGAGAATTTCGTTCAGCGAAATGTATACAGGACCGCCACAGAGGCGGACAAGAGACGCCATGGCCCTCCCTTGCCGATGAAGCTCGTGTACACGAAGAAGCAGGGAGGCATCTACAGAGTCCGGGCAGTCGTGTGCGGCAACTTCGAACGCAACGACCCCAGCCAGGCCCTGTGGACAGCGCAAGCCGAGACGTCCAGCTTGCTCGCCGGATTACGTATGGGACTCCTGCGAGGATGGGACTTCGGCACTCTTGACGTGTCAGGTGCATTCATGTACGCGCCGCTCCCTGAGACCGTCCACGTCCTGGTGAATCCGCCCAAGGCCTTCGTCGAAGCCGGGCTCGTAGCACCCGGAGAAGTGTGGGTCTTACAACGTGCAGTGTACGGCTTGAGGGTCGCACCCAGGGCTTGGGGCAAAGAGCGGGACCGGGTGTTCCGGAATCTTACTTGGAAGGCTCAGGGCAAAACTTATTGCCTCGAACAGCGCGCTGAGGACAGTCAGGTGTGGAAGATAACCGAGAAGGGCGTGAATGTAGTGCTCGGATTGCTCATTGTCTACGTAGACGACTTCTTGCTGGCCTGCCCGCAGGACGAGATGCGGACGAGCTTCAAGGAAGCCCTGGCCAAGCACTGGACAATGAAGCAAGAGGTGAAGCTTGAGGCTGGCACCGAGATCACGTTTCTTGGCCTCCAGATCCAGCGGCTCGCCGATGGGATTGTCATCCACCAGAAGCACTTCATTGATATGATCCTTGAGAAGCATGGTATGTCCGATGCGAAGGCGTTGAACACAGTCACCATGGACCCCCCGGGAGAGGAGGACCAGCCAGGTCAAGACAAACTTCGCGAGCTTCAGAGTTACGCAGGAGAGTTTAATTGGCTATCCACAAGAACACGGGCTGACCTCGCCTATTTCACCAGCCTGTTAGCCTCCGCCCTGAGCAAGCACGCCGAGTGGAGCGAGCAGCTGGCGAAGAAAATCTTGCGATACCTTAAGGGTACACGTGACTGTGGGCTATTTCTGCCCAGCGGTGGAAATGAGGCTTCTTTGGTAGCTTGGTCAGACGCTGGCTATGCAGGAATGAGTACCAGAGCTCAGTCAGGTGCTTTCCTGAGTTGGGCAGGAGCTCCGCTGCTGTGGCGCTCGTCGCGCCAGACTGTCAGCTCTCCCAGCACAGCAGAGGCGGAGCTAGGTGCAGCAGCGCTCGCGTGGCAGATCGTCGAAGGCATCCGGGCGTTAGTCGAGGAATGGGGTATCGAGTTGGAGCCAATCAAGCTTCTGCTGGACAACGACGCCGCCCTGGCGATCGCGGAGCAGGGGTCGAATTGGCGCACCCGGTACTTCGGGGTCAGGGCTTCCAGGATCCAGGAAGAACTCCTCAAGGGCAGACTTCTTCTCGGACACGAGCCGACCAAGACTATGGTCTCAGACGCCTTGACAAAACTTGCCAGCACGGATGTGTTGGAGAACATCCGGAAGGCGATGCGGGGAGAGTACCCTCCGCCATGCTGGACGCCTGGTGCAACAGAGAAGCCAAAGGCGGCTTGAATGGGTTCTCTACCATATGATCCGGCACTTTGAGCACCAGATCAGGGGGAGTGCGTAGAGACCCCCGAAACATGTGACGATACAAATGTCAGCATGATTTGTATCATGGAGCGTTTCTGAGTGAGCAGCACGTAGCAGCAGCCTTGCACTACTGAGCGACCGTCCATCCGCCCTCGGGTGTCACTGGATGGTTGCTCAACGTCCCCCCGCCCTCGGGTGTCACGGGACGAGTGCTCTGTCGCCAAAGCACGTTGTAGCATAATCTCTTTCTCTATCTCTCTTTCTTGTGTATCCCCTCCTCCGCTAGAACCTGAGCAACCTCCCCGAAGCGCGCGACGCTGTGGCGTCACCTGTCTGCTGGTGCGACCGTCTGTCTGCTGGTGCGACCGTGAGATTGCCGGTGCGACAAGAGCGTGCGAAGGCACGCACAGGCGCCACGATGATCGCGCATCCTTTCTCGCCCCTTGTACTTGTAGTATGTTGTAACATATAATTTCTTGCAGCGCTCTTGCGGCAAATCTGCCATAGAGAGCAGGACGGGCAAAGCATCCGTCGCTACTTGGCTCAAGATCTGTCAACTGGACTGCAGCAGTTGAGCGAGTAAAACGAACCTGTATCGTCACATCCCTACATCAACTGTCTCCCACACGATACAACGAGGGAGGAAGATGTATCTGCGAATGTGTTAGCTCTTTCCCAGCCTGCGCGGCCGACTAGCAGCTATACGAGGATCCCCGCCGTGTTGAGGGTCTCGGGGGCGGAAAAGAGGGGTGTGATGACTAGGGGGGGGGTGGATATCATGGCGGGGGTCATGATATTTCCCCAGATTTCATGGCGCCTCTTCTTATTTCATTACGTCTCTGGCCCCCCCGCTGGGCCGCGCACATGCCGCCGGTCATGATTTGCACCCCCCCCCCTCTTGGACACCCCCCTCTTGGCCGCTCCCCAGGGTCCAGACCTCTGGCGTACTGATCTTGTTCACTCCCGGCGTTGTCCCTCAATTTCGGCATGCTGGAGCCGCCTTTGGGCCACAGGACCAGCAAAAACAGATCGGTGCCGAAACAGTAGCACCCCGTATTGTTGTATGTGCAATGGGGGCACCAAGCAAATGTAACAGCTAACAGTTCAACAGAAGTGCTACCCTTCAGACGCCAGCCACCTCTGGAATTCCAAACGATGGAAACTCCAAGGGAGATCAAAGCAGCGTTTGACCCCCCCACCCCCCTGGCCCTTGCAGTAAGTATTCTTACCACCAGCCACGAACTGTCCGGGCCCTGGGCTATGCAGGATTTGACTATATTGGCATAGTGGAGAAGTGTTTGTTGCTGCTAGGCCGCAAGGTTGTCCATTTGATTGCCTTGAATGACGCGACGTCGCAGGTTGTACAGGGAGGAAGAGATGGGGGGATGAAGTGGAGGAGACGGAGAAGGTAGGAGTGAGGAGGGAGAAGGAAGATGAAGAGGAGGTCGACGACGAGAAGGAGCATGAGGAGAAGGAGGAGGGAGGATGGAGAAAGGGAGAAGGAGGATGCGAAAAGGGAGAGGATGTTTGGTTCTTTTCTGCTGTTTTTGGGGAGGGGCTGGAGAGCGGTCAGCCTTCCTCCTGCTCGTCTTCAGCTTCCCTCCGAAGCCCCTCGTACTAGTAAATAACTCCTCCCTCTCGCACTACCAGATGTGTCGTTAGAACGGGGCATGCCTTCAAGAACTTAATATTTCCTCACTTGGTACGCTGGTGAAGCATGAAATTGCAAACAGTTGCATGGGCGGTTTTCAAAAGGGGGTTTTCGCATTGGTGCCGCGAGCACCGCGTTAAATTGTCCAAGCAGCTATACGGATGGAGGGTTACCGGTTTTCTAAAGTGGATTGACGTGTTGGTGCCGCGCAGTTTCGTCCGACAACAAAGAATAGCTACGCGCACGGAGGGCGGGTTATTTTCAAGATTGGGCGGTCGCATTGGCGTCGCACACACTCCTCTTAAGCATTTCTCAGCAAGTACACGGGTTCTCGCCATGGGGCCGCGCACCTGCATTTCAAAAGGGCACACGGATGGACGGCGGTTCTTTCTCAAAACGAAGCTCTCCAGAGAGGTTTTCGACAAATATTCGATGTACAGCATGGTGCGAGAGTTTCATCCAGGGAGGGCGGCTTCTTTACAAGGTGCCGTTGTCGATTTAGACTTCTCTAGATTTTACGACCAGAACTTTAAAACCATGCAGCAGCTTCATGGATGTGGGGTGGTTCCGTTTCCCAGCGGAGTTGTCGTTGGACAGTTGCTGTATTTGCCCCCGCCTTGTCGCAGTTCTTATCGCGCGAAGGGTGGAGCGCCGTTCCTTTTTCAGAATGGATCCCCCGTTTGAGTTGCGGGCCCCGTCTTCCAACGGAGGCGCTTCGCGCAGTGCAAAGTTGTGATTGCAAGGGCTGCTGAGGGACGTGGGCGGGACAGCTTGCTGCAGCATCGCAGGTAAATCTTGAGGCTGCTCTAGTCCTCAACCTCCTCCTCGCCTGCTCCCTCAAGGGTATAGGATCGACCTGGCAATGCGTTATGCATCCCTCCTCTGCGCAGTGCTCTCGATGGCAGTCAACGACGAGCCCTTTGAGGTTGTCTTCGCGGACATTGTCACGGACAAGCCCATCATGCCGGCGCTAACCCGCAGCTCCCCATTCGCGCGCATTGTCTCATGATGGGGGGAGCACACCTGCTACAGAAGGAGGAGGAGGAGGAGGAGGAGGAGGAGGAGGCGGAGGAGGCGGAGGAGGCGGGAGGTGGAGTTGAGAAGGACGAGGGGGGACGACGATAACGAGCAGGAGGCGGAGGAGCACACGTAAGGAGAACGGGGAAGCGAAGAAGAGGAACAATGATTAGGAGAAGGAGGCCAAGGATCAAGAAGACAGAGGAGGAGAAGTATGAGGAAATATGATTAGGAGGAGAATATGGCGAAAGCCGCGGAGGAAGATAATGCTGAAAGGAGAGACACCATGCTATACGAAACTGTAGACGCGCATGCTCCGTCCAAATTGAACTCGGGAGGTGCCCCAGAGTTTCAGCTGGCCCCAAGGGCCATCGAGAGGTGAGAAGCTTCCGTGGAGCACTCGCTGGCGGATGTTTCCTTGGAGCACTTCCGGATGGCCGAGCTCCAGGACATCCGGCGCCGGGCTTCTCTCAACACGTGGGCCGCGGGCCCGTTTTGCGTCCCGGACCGTCGTTTCAGTGGCCCAGGGCCGAGAACCGGCATCCAGAGGCAGACATTCGCTCGAGAATCAAAGGCTATACGGACCATGCTGAAAAAATCTGGAAATCTGATGGGCCAATCTTCCACCACCACCACCATAGGTGGGAAAGGGAGGAGGAGCAGGAGGAGGAGGAGGAGGAGCAGGAGGAGGAGGAGGAGCTTGAGAAGGAGGAGGACCTCTCCATCTTCCCTTCTTCTCCCCCGTCCTACATATGGCAGTGGTGGTGGAACATCTGCCCAGCAAAGATCAGAAAGGGGCGGTACATGTCCCAGACGCGCACCGCCTCGAGAGAAAGGCAGGGCGGAGGAGGAGGTCGCTTCCGCGATCTTCGGCCTCCGGGAGCCCTCTCGCCAGGCCGCGGGGCCGTCACAACAAAACACGGCGCGGGAGGAAGAGCCGGCCGAGGGGCGGGCGCGGAAGACAGGGGGCTTCGCGAGGCCACGCGAGTCCCAGGAGGGGCACCAGTTGTAAAGTGGCGGCAGGTTCCCCCTGAGATCTGGGCGTCGCATCACTGCGGGTGTGTTCGCCGGGTTTCGGGCCCAAGGACCCTCACGGATTTCTCCGTTTCGAGACATGTTGCAGAAATATGGGGCCGATGGTTTTGATAGTGGTTTTTCGCGACGTCGGATCTCAGGTCAGCGTTCTTAAAAAATGAACAACCATTTTCTCTGAGCTGGGGCCTCCCTGGACCTATCTCGGATCCTGGGGCCCACAAGCAAACGACCCGCCTCGAAAAATCCACGTGAATGGCGAATGGAGTTTCACTCATCTGCTCTAGTGCTCCAGTTATCGTAGCCATTCTTTCTCAAGTGCTTCGCTCAGCGCCAACATCGGCACTTTAGATGCAGCCTCTATTGTTGAATAGTTTCAACGCGCTGCGGAACGCGAAGCTCCGATTTGCGGCAAGATACCACGCCGCTGCTGAAGAGATCGCCTGCTTGCGACAAAACTTCGCTTGGCCCCTCTGCGGTCAGACATTTGACATCCAACCCGGATTCTGACACTGGGCGAAGATATGGACCAGATGTTGGTTTCTTTGAAACGGCCGTAAAGAAGTTGGGACTACAAGAAGTTGGGATGACAAACGTTGAGTTCTTACGTACGCGAAGCGTTTCAACAATGTGTGACAGCAAGACCATCGCATTGCGACCAGTTGTCAGCGCATGTGGGAAAAGGCATGCCATGGCAACGGACTTCTGCTAGTACTCCTCGCTCCATTCTATATGTCCATCACTCCACATCACTCCTTGGGATCCGATGTTTCGAGATTGGGGCCTTCGGTGGAGCTTCCTCTTTGGCAAGGAAACGTGTGAGGGGTGTGCCGACATGAGCGGTGGGTACGCATGCGCACATGCGCATTGGGGCCTTCGGTGGAGCGATGGGTATGCTTCAATGAGCGGCGGGAACATCCGAATATGCCCACGGGGGCCTTCAGTGGAGCTCCCTGTAAGGCCACGAAGCGTGTGATGGGTGTCCCGAAATCGGCATGCGGATAGCAGCGGCAATGAAGGGAGGGGGGTTGCGGAGGGCAGGGGCAAGGAAGGAGACGGGGAGGCGGGAGGAGTCACGCGGGGCGTTGGTGATTCAAGACGAGGGCCCAACACCACAGGACGGCCAGGAAGTGCCAGAGTTCTCTACCCGACACTTGTCCGCAGCATCTCTCTCGAGCAGGATCGGCCCGCGAGGGCCCTAGGGCTCGAAGCCGGGCGGGAACGCCCAGTGTGAGCAATCGAGGAGCCTGGATCTCGGGGTCGTTCGATGCCGCCCGTAGAGCCCAGGTCGTTGCTGTGACGGCGGCCTGCTCGTGGCAAGTAGACTGGAAGTGGCCTGGGCCGCTTCGTCCAGGGCCTCTTCTTCCCCCATCGATCTGAAGGCTCCTCGCTCCCTCCCTCCCTCGGCGGCCTGCTCGTGGCAGCCAGACTGGAAGTGGCCTGGGCCGCTTCGTCCAGGGCCTCTTCCCCCTATCGACTTGAAGGCTCCTCGTTCCCTCCCTCCCTCGGCGGTCTGGTCGTGGCAGCCAGACTGGAAGTGGCCCGGGCCGCTTCGTCCAGAGCCTCCTCCCCCGTCGACCTGAAGGCGCCTCGCTCCACCCCTCCCTCGGCGGTCTGCTCGTGGCAGCCAGACTGGAAGTGGCCCGGGCCGCTTCGTCCAGGGCCTCTTCCCCCTATCGACTTGAAGGCTCCTCGTTCCCTCCCTCCCTCGGCGGTCTGGTCGTGGCAGCCAGACTGGAAGTTGCCGGAGGAGTGAGAGGAGAAGGAGGAGGAGGAGGAGGAGGAGGAGGAGGAGGAGGAGCAGGAGGAGGAGGAGGAGGAGGAGTCTTCTGGGGTCGTCCTGGGAGCGGTGCTTGTTACCTGGCCTGGCGCACCCTCTTCCCGTGGACCCCGGAGGTCTCGATGCCCTTCCTGGGACCAGCGCCTCGTCCTGAGTCGTTGCTGACGCTCCCAGGTCGCCACGAACGAAATGGGTGCGGAAAGAATGGGTACAATGCCCAACAGCAGTTCCTGTACATTTTGGACAGGACGCGCTGTCCGCGCCGCCGCGGCCTGTGTCCATGTGAGACAGGAGGCCGCCTGCCCAACAGCGGCCGCCGTCGGTTCGGGACAGCATTTGTTGCTGGGCACTGTACTCGTGTTTTCCGTACCCCTTTCGGGCGTCCAAAGCACGGGCCAAGAAGCCGAAAGTTGCCCGAAAACGTGTTTGTCGTGTTTCTTTCGTAGCGCGAAGGGGTCTGGGCGTTGAGCCTCGGGGACGGACCTCAGACAAACCTGCAGCTTCCAGACCATGCCCAGCACAGAGCTCGTGAGCGCCAAGATGCGACTCGCCTTCTACAGTCCAAATCGATTAAAAGGATCGGTCAGCTTCCCAAGGGTACCCCTTGCATCCTGTCCGCCCTGGTCCATCCTCAACCACCTTCGACGGCCAGCTTCGCTCGAAAAGCCTCGACGTGGACGTCCAAGGAGCTTGCATCCTTACCGCGCATCCTTCGACGAAGAACAAAAAACATAAACATAAACTTTTGCCGCTCAGCGCGGATTTCTCGGATCCGCGCCTGGGCCCCCCGGCGGCGCCTCTGGCGCCGCCCCTGGTGCGCGCGAACCTAAGAAATCTGCGCGGAGCGCCAACCAGAGCGCGCGCGCTCCAGATGTCGCATGCGCTCGCGGCGGGCGCGGGCCTCTCTGAGCGGTGGCCACCTGCGGGAGGGGTTCTCAGGGGAGGCCCAGACGTCGGGCGCCTCGAGAAAATCGAGACGGTGCTTTTTTTGTAGCTTTTGGCCTCTCGGTGCCCTCGCCGGGCCTCGGGACCGTCAGCACAACGACTCGGGATGGGAAGCCAGCCCCAGAGAAGTGGTCAAGAGGTCGGGGGCCCGCGTCTCGAACAAATCGAGACGTCGGATGCCTGGGGGGTACAGTTAACCCGCACAGTAAGGATGGGCAACCCTCCCAAGGGTGCCCCTTGCATCCTTGCCTCTTCGGCCCATGCTTGGCCACCTTCGTTGGCCAACCCTGCTCGAAGAACGCTAACGTGGCCCTCCAAGGCCCTTGCATCCTTACCACACACACACACCATCACCACCACCACCACCACCACCACCACCACCAACACCACCACCAACAACAACAACAACAACAATAAGTTTAAGATTGTTCGCGCTTCTCTGCTCGCGTGTCATTCAATCTGCATATCCCAAACCCTGGATACCCGCCCTCTTCGTCTTCGATCGTACTCCCTTTTGGGGGGCATATTCATTCCCTGCCACGTGTGGCTGGTGAAGCCCTTGAAAACGAAGGGTAACAGATAACGGGGGAGACCGAAGGGCATACGTATAGGGGGCCGCAGAGGGCAGCGACGGAGCCGCTGAGGGCAGAAACGGGGCCACGACCGGCAGAGAGGGGGTCACGAAGAGCGACAGCGGGGCCACGAAGGGCATGCATATGGGGCCACGACGGGCGCGAACGAGCGGGGACCACGAAGGGCATGCATATATGGGGCCAGAAAGGGCGACAGCGGGGCCACTGAGCGCAGAAAGCGGGCCACGAAGGGCAGCGAGGGGGCCACGAATGGCGACAGCGGGGCGGCGAAACGCATGCGTATGGGACCACGAAGGGCGCGAGCCAGCGGGGGCCACGAAGGGCAATTAATCCGGGGCCACAGAGGGCGGCGACGGGGCCGCTGAGGGCAGAAACTGGGCCACGACCGACAGAGAGGGGGCCACGAAGAGCGACAGCGGGGCCACGAAGGGCATGCATATGGGGCCACGACGGGCGCGAACGAGCGGGGGCCACGAAGGACTGAGGGCAGCAAAGGGGCCACGAATGGCGACAGCGGGGCTACGAAGGGCATGCGTATGGAGCCACGAAGGGCGACTGCGAGCGGGGGCCACGAAGGGCATAGAATGCGGGGCCACAATG